AACGAGAAAGTTCATCCTCGTACTCCGCTATGGTTCTTTCAAACAGACCAAAGATCTCCTCAGCAGCCGCAGTTAGTCGCTGGTTGACTAAAGATCTCAGCATTTGGACTTTAGACATGTTCCGACGTGGACAGAACCAGATATAGTCATCTGTAGGCAGGCAACAAAAATATTCAGGTTGAAATAAAAACCCTCTTCTTCAGTGAGATTAAACTTGTATCAACCTACTCATTGCCAGAAGCATTCGCAGCGCAAAAAAATGCAGTGTTACATTTCAAAAAGAGACTAAAACCATGCAGGTAGTGTTCAAGAACAAATGTCACTTCTGCTGAAAACGTTGCACAAATAGCTAAAGAACCAGCCATCAATAACATTTAACATGAACCACGAGCAGCGCAGACAAGAGAAACAATTCAAAATTGATAAAATCTAGTTAACACTAGAAAATTTCGCAAGAAATTTTGACAGTGTGGCTGCTACTGCCCAAAGACATCGATATATATAGTTACACGCTAATATTACCAGTAGTATCATTGAGGTTCAATTGAGATATCGCTTCTCTCTTTTCTGCATTTTAGAACTTTACTCCAACTTTACAAACACACACTCTCAATCAATATTAGCAAGTTCTTCAACGCTGCCTGTCTAGCAGAGTATAATAAAATCACATGAAACAAAGTTATCTGTCAGCCATTTTGTCTTGTCTAAGAAAGAGCTATATCAAAATGCTAGGAGCAATATGCTACGTTTTCCACCCACATACATACACACACAAATAGCAAGCTAATAGCTATCACAGGATTCCAACTTCACACACATTTCTCACAGAAATGATAATAAAAAAACATCAACAGTGAATAGACTGAACTCTTATTTTCTCAAAGATATAGCTTAAAACATTCTCATCTCACACCGTGGCTTTAGAGGGATAGCATGTAGTATTAATAACATAAGCTAATACGTTAGCATGCTAGCAGCGTTTAGCATTCAAACAGCAGTAGGCCTACATGTAATTAGCTCTCCAGCCTGACACTGGCTCATTCCTTAACTATAACCATTCCCTCAAATCATATATATATATATATATATATAGCTCTCATAGAACCGGACTGTCTTTTAGATTAGCATTAGTCAGCAGAATTATTTCAATGAGCTCCGCCATTTTAACAATAGAAGCGCGAAAAAAACTCATTACCGACTACAATGAAATGTCTGCATTTTACAGTTACTAAGGCTTCTCAAGTGAATACAGATGTTATATCTAACATGTTTCTGTTTAAAGTCAGTTTACCTGTAAATATATGACATTTATCAGGTCTGTTGAGAAGCCGCTTTCTCTTTGGAAGACACTTAGCTCATTAGTACTGACAGCTTTCTTCTGCTCTACTTACGTTAGCTACTGATGCTCAGTATACTGCCTAGAGCGCCCTCTGCTGGCGATGTTGGGCATAGCAGAAATAAAATAACGACACATCCCAGTAAAAGACAAAATGACAGCATGATACAGATACTTTCCGTGATATGTGAGTTTCCCTGTTTGTTTAACTTTAATGAACATTTTTATTATGTTGCTTGCAGTTTGAAGAAAGCGTGAGTAGATGAAAGAAGATGAGAGTGGATGATAAGGTATGAAATAAGTGTTTGTTGTGCTCAGGAAGCCTACTGGACACTAACATCTGGCTTGTGTCTTTAGTGGGAAAGGTTACGATCAGCACTCATCAGACAAATGATTGCAGTAGTCTCGGGTATTTATCGGATCCAGCTCCGATCGGCAGTGATGGAAACACCCCACCACGGCACGTTGCAATGACTATTATGACCGATTCTTTGTCATCTCAGACACAAAATCCGTCCGTCGTAGTCCAAGCTGCACTCAAACATCGTTCCAAATCAGTCGGCACCGTGTTTGAAGAAAGACTGAATACGTAACAGATATGAAAAACAAGTAAAAACTAACATTTTCTACCGTTTACTGATTGTGAAGTCGAAGATAACACAACAGAAAAAAACACAGAGAGACATACTCGTCTACTGGCAGTTGGAAAGGAGACTATCACCTATTTTTAACGTGTTCAACATGCAAATTTTGGTGGAAAAATTGTATGAGATGCAAATGCTGGAAGTGAAAGGGGGGGCTTTATGTTTTGTAAATGAACAAGAGGGATTAAATGGCCCCTAATCCATGTGTTGATGAGCACTGTACCCTATTTATCATCAGTCTGGACGGTCACAACAACAGCACGTGACCCTCAATCGGACATGATAGCTGTGCAAGAATTAACCCCAAAACACTGGGACAAATGGCGTACTGCCATGTAGAATTAGGATGAGGTGTGTGTGTGTGTGTACAGGGAACACCACGGTTGTCTTCTAATAGAGGACCAATTCACATCCTGTTCAGCCCAGTGTCACATGTTGAAATCTATTAGTTTGGTTTACAGGGACACGACTTGTCTGTTTTTTAAATGCCAATGGAAAGTCAATTAGGAGACAAATTCGTCTTATGCTTTTACTTTCACAACTAATGTAATAGATGTACTGCTCTGCTATGTCTTTCCTCGTCTCAGCCCCGTGTGTCACGGTGTGTGTACATCTCACTGGAGTCAGGAAACTTGTCAGAATGCCCACATTTGATCGGCTGAGCTGCATCACGTGATGGGATTCACAACACATTGGTCGGTGCAACACCGCTGAACAAGTGCCGTAAATGCTGGAATAATTCCGCTGCATACAAAATATCCTTCAAAATGAAAGCACAAGATTTTTTTTTTTGTCAAGCAATGGCCTGGAACAAAAAAACCACAACAAAAAACAGCTGGGGCTCGCAAGTGTTCTAGGAGGCTACGCTAACTAGCTTAACTGGAAAACAACAGCAGCAACACGCATTCTGCTACACACTCAAGGGCATGGGCCATTCAGATATTAGATGTAAAAAAACAAATGCAGTTGATTTACCAAACTCCATGCTCCTTTCTTTGTTGACAAAGAGTTTAATCCCACGGTTAAATCCAAACTCACAAATCCGTTTCTACTCCTACTTTAACCATTGAGTGATAAAAAAAACAAAGCTAGGTAAAAACATAAATAATCTACACCAAACAAAATGCAAAAAATGTCATAATTTCTTCCATATCTTTCAATTTGTAATCTCACTACTCCGACTAAGCTTTGCCAGTTTATGTTTCGTTTCACGATAGTCACGCACTCACCCACTGACCAATCACAGCACACTCTGCACCTCACTGCAGAGCTGCACCTGAAAACTGAGCTGCATGTAATGCTGACGTAGTTGTAGGCCAGCTAGCAGGCTCTGACACGTCAAAGAATACGCCCAACATGTCAAACTAAAGATCTGATTGGTTGAAGAATATGACAATCAACAATATTGTCCCCGTTCACTTAAACTGCACATGGATGCACTTGTGAGTCTGCAGGCCTCGGGCCTCTCTTCTTACATAGAGACACAGAGGTGGAATCTGATTGGATAAAAGCTCTACTTAAAACAAGCTGTACTGGAAGCAGAGCAACTGAGGAAGACAGGAGCTGTGCAATGAGAAAATAAGATAATGGGAAAAATATTTTTATAGATTATAATACATGTAGTGTATTTAAGAAAAAAATATTAAATTATAAAATAGATGCAACTTTGTGATGCTGTTTAGGCCAGCAGAGAAGGCCCTGCAGGCCCTGACGGCCCACCACTGCTGAAATACCACTTTAAGTCCGGTAACGTTATAAACATTGAGATTAACTACACGGATAAACTGAACTTGAGTATTTTATACTTAGTCTACATTTTGTTTCAAGTTTTGTGTGAGACAGTGAAATGTGAAACTGGTAACTAAAAGTGCTCACAAGCAAGTGTGTGTCACTTTGATGGATCATAATAACACTGCATGTATCTAATCATTTGCAACTTTTAATTGTAGATTGCTTTAACATCATTTTAGAAGTGGGGTGATTCATCCTCCTTGAACTATTTCATCTTCTGACTAAAGAGAACATAAATTAAGAGGCCTCTTTATTTTTTGGTTCCTAATGAATTAAAAACATCTGAACCTGCTTGTACAAAACAAGTTATGCATCATCATTCATAGTGTACAGATCTCAAGATGGATTATTCTTATTTTCTGTTCATGCAACAAATAGTCATGTGATCGGTGGAAACGTGAAATAGTTCTCAAAATAATATAGTAAATTAAAATAAGTTGTGGAAAAAACTGAGATCAAAACATTTTCTTTCCATATCAAGGGATTCAACAATGAAAGCCTTGAGAGGAAAGTGCAATATAGACTCACCTTCAGTCTATATTCCCATACATAGTGTATCTGGCCTGACTTGTGACCAGGTACATTAATAGCATTCCTGGCTGTTAAACTGTATATAATCAGACCAATACATTTCCCCAGTTTAGTTATAATGGGGCCCATACGGTCTGCTATAGCTGACACCTGCGAGTTTCCTGGCAACAGAGTCTTAAAATAATGATTCACCTATTCTGCACCAAAACCAAAAAGCAAACTTGAAATAATGAATCACATATTGACATGACTTTGACCCCTCTTTTTAGTAATTTGTCTTTCTATATGTTCCCAGGCATTGTAGTTTTTTTTTTTTTTAAGGGCAACAGTTGGCCTTTAATATAGGGTATGCTAGCTACTATACAGTCAAAAAAATTCACTACATTTTGTCAGCCAAGTAGAGTTTCCTGAGCCAAAGCCCCTGAAGGCAACATGGTAAAGTGATGTTCACTGAACTGCAAGTTTCTAGCTTGAATAGTTTTTGAAATACATACCAAGCATCGATCATAACCCAGTGACCATACACAGAAATCTGCCTTTATCAGAAATCCTAATGACAAAAAGCTGATTTTTAAAGCGAACCTTTGTAAGACAGAAACTGGCACTCAAGAGTCCTTTACATTATTTCTTGACTCTGCCACTTTTATATGCAAAGAAAACTCAGTACAAGAAATCTGCCCTTCATATCTGAAGCATGACATTGTATATGCATCAAAAACTCATGTAATAGACATCAATATAATTCAAGTCAGCCTTTATTTTTCTGTCACGCAAGGAAATACAGAAGCCCCAATGTCTTCAGACCCCAGCTTTCATCTGGTTGTTGGGTGGTAGTGCCTTTCCCAGGTGGGTCCCAACCGTCAGTCCATACTCCTCGGTGGCATTTTTCTCATGGACCTCAGGCTTCAGCTGGGAACCCTTCTCCCCATCAAAGCAGTCCATGGGAGTGAAGTAAAGTGGTTTTTCACCCAGGACACCTTGCAGTCAGGTACGCCAGCCCTCCAGCATGGTGCTGCGCTCCTCAGAGGAAACGTGAGACGGTGCCCAGAAGATCTGAGGGGCCAGAACCTGGAAGCCACAGTAGTGCAGGATGCCATTCTGGAGAGTTTAAAGTAAATTACTTTTAACTGCTCATTTATTTTTCATATATATTAAAAAAAAAAAAAAAAAAAAAAAAAAAACAAAGGGTTGATTTAGGAGTAGCCATCAGTAAGTTTACAAAATGTAGAATCAGTGTTAGATTTGTCCCTTCTGGGCTACAGTAGAAACAGAGCAAACTCTCAGGCCCAACTCCCTCTTTAGATATGAAGGTCTCATTCTATGCTAGCCAAAACGATTTAAGGTTATTATAGACTGATAAAACATCAGGATTAATATGCATTATAATATATCCTACACTCTAACTTTAATGCTTAGTTGAAGCAATATTCTGATTCAGTACCTGTAGTGGCCACAGTGCGACAGTCATGTCGCCATTAATACCATCTGCACTAAACATGGACTCATGAGACCCAGTGGTGAAGGACAGCATTGCTTTCTTGTCCTGTGCAGAAAGCAAGCAAGTTAGAAAAGTAAATAATGGAACAGTTTCAAACTAGTAATGCAAACAGCTTTATTTGAGCCTTTACCTTGAAGATTCCCTGGCTGTATCCCCTTTCTTGAGTAGGCATAGCCCAGTGTGAGCACCCGGTCGATCCAGCCCTTCATGATGGCAGGAACAGTGAACCAGTACATGGGGAACTGAGAAGTAAGGCAAAGTGTTAGCTTTGAGCATTGAGAGGTTTAACGCACGCATGCCAGTCACCAAGCCTCTACCTGAAAGATGATGAGGTCCGCCTCAGTGAGTTTGCGTTGTTCCTCAGTGATGTCCGCACACAGTTTTCCTTCCTCCCATGCCAGTTTGGTCTCCTCTGCATAACGGAAGTGATCGGAATTCTTGACTTCTGCCGAGACAAATTATTTCATTTAATTCTGAAGTTCAATAAAAAGCTAAACTTCTTCCAATGCCAGGGAGATATTGATATACCGGTGATGTCCTCGGCAGTAGCAGTGGCTTTAAACTTCATGGCGTACAGGTCCGATCCTTCCACTGTGCAGCCCTGACCTGCTAAAACTTCCACAGCAGCATCTTTGGCTGCAGCGTTGAATGAGCCAGTGCTCTGGTGGGCATACACGATAAACACTTTCTTTGCGGCTAAACCAAGGATTAAAGACTGGAAATGAGCACACATTAGGGCAGAAATCTCACAGGTGAAACATTACAGTTCATGAGATCCAACATTACTCAGAACATGACACATCCTGCCCAACCCCTCAGCAAACACAAGAACACATAGTTGATAACTCACCCATTCTGGATACAGATGTCAGCTGTGTTGAATGAGAGAGCAGGTCAGTCTAGAACAGCAGTCAAGATGCTGTTTTATACACCACAAGACTCAACACACAGCCTCCTCACAGGTGCTGTCAATCAGCAATCAAGGTCATTAACCAATCACCTGGCATCTCTCAGAACTCTCATCAACATAGCAACATATCTTTTACTGACCCTGGACAGCATTTTTAAATGGGGAGTGCAATTTATGTACCACTAAAAGCCAAGAAATATGGAGGTTTTTATCAGTGTAACCAGCTATGGCTTTTGCCTGTTTTAAACACAGGATAAACTTACAATAATACTCTTACACCTACATCTTCTACTTCATTGCAGTGTGTGTTTCCCCCATTTCAGCCTGCCCACAAAGAGATGGAGCGTAGGTTTGTCAATGTCGTTAAGAAAATATCACTCTCCTTGACCCCATTTTCAATGTTAACACCAGCCCTGAAGCCGAGACATATCACCTGAAACTCAGAACCTTTACTTGCCTCTCAACAACAGTTCATAATCACAAGTTAAATTGTTTGTGACTCAGATGGAATTACATAAAAATAACTCCCATGAAATTACCTTTCTTGAGTAAAGTGGTTACACAGTATGTACTAGTCCACCAGAGAGCAGCATGCACCAGTAAGTGCCATGTTGTATCACCTGCAGCCAGGAAATCCCCATTTCTCATGACATTGGCATGGTAGCAGGTGCGCCATTGTTCAATTTGAAGGTGTAATAAAAATGTGTGATTCTCAGTACAATACAGTACAATTGTTGTCATGTTTTCAAATGGGTATGTGTGTTGTTGGGCAAAGTGTCTCATAACAGAACAATCTGTTGAACACAGAGCCAAACTGGCTACTATTGTAGATTTGAATGATGTTATGCTCGCTGTAATTTATCACACAGCATTTTGAACGTCATCATGTGCTTTACTTTGTTGCACACTTACTTGGGTTTATTTTATCTCACATGCATGTAGTAGTGCAGAGTTGTAGAAACCAACATCTCCTCTTTTAGTGGATTTGTTGGTCAACTCCCAAACCACCAACATAAAAGCTCATTTGTGTTGCATTCTTTTACTAAACACTGATCAGTTCAGTGTTTAGTGAAGGTTTATGTATGTGTGTTCCAATAACCATACCTCCATTCTATTAATATGCCAGAAAAATATCTAGTATGTCCTAATACATAGTATATCAAATGCAGTTTGCCACAAATACCAGGATGTGCTGCGTCTGGTCGCATTTTGCAGCACGCAAACAACTGGTGATGTCTGAGATGCCATATTTAATTCTGAGGAGAAAACACTGACTGGTTTTGTTTTGATTGTTTTGTGTCTCCAATTCTGTGGTCCTGTGGGTCTAACTTCAAAGGAGTCAGATCCAAATATCTAATCCAGCTTCAAGTCTTTGACCCAACCATTGCTTCAGCAATAGATTCCAATTCCACGTATTGATCATCTCTCCATTGTTTGCAGTTTTGTCTTTGTCATTGCCTCAACACATGCCATTATTGGCATTTAGATATTGGCAACTATGCTTTGATTGATTTGTGTTCCTGATAGCACAACAGTGTTCCTTTGACTTCCCTTTGCTCTTCCTCCTGAATTTATGATGAGCCATGACAAATGACATTACAAGGGATTACGTAATTGATTGATGGGTTGATTGATCCAGTCATTGACGTGGTACACACCCAGACGCCAAAACGCCTTGAAGTAAAGAAATACATGACCAGATCATTTCATTGGAACCCATTGAAGACTAGTCACCACAACCTCATTAGGAATATTTAATTCGACTGAAAATGTTATGGACATGTTTTTATTTGGGTCCTAGGAGAGCCATCTGAAACCCCGTTATTGCTCCATGGAGGACAGCAGAACGATTGACGTTGAACTTGCAGGTTATCAATATTGTCACTGAGCTCTCTCAGAATTTGAGTAATGGGGAATGTGTTCTTTTGGCTGCTTAAACATTTGAACGACAGACCTATCAGTAACTGTAATATGACAAGATGACCTCGTCATATCATAATTTCATTTTGATATTGTGCAATGACTCAAATTTTTCAATGACCTATTTAGGCCAACAGTATGCACCTGACAGTATACTCTTCTACCTCTACTTCGGTTTGTTGCAAAGTAAAAACACAAATGTACCTTGAAGTTATTTTCTATGTAGTTCCTTATTTTGTTGTCATCTGTGCCTCTCCAGTGTTGGTAAGTTCTATATGATCATTTTGAAATAAACTACAGCAGTGTTATAAAAAATGATAATAATGATAATAATTCATTAATTTAGTATTCATTAACGTCACATGTTGTATATATGTAGCATGTTAGAGTTATAAATAACTTGTCCATGTGAGAAACAATAGTTTAATTTAATGACATCACCAAAATAAAAATAAAAAAAAAAAGTTTTTTGTTTTTTTTAAAGCTAATAATGCCAAATTATTTGGGGGGGCTGAAGAACATTTTAGGGAGGCTTCAGCTTCAGCTACCAGAAGCAGCCTCAGTAGCAACACTTCTGGATTGAAGCTGCAGACAGCTGAACTATATTACTTTATCTTTAAATGTTAGTTACAGTGAAGGAGTAAGGCTCCTGAAACTGTATTTCACACATAATATAACATAAAGGTGATCAAGATGGCGCCGCGATGGCAGCCTCAGTAGCCTACTGCGCTCTGTCGTATTTTTTCTGTTTTTGTTTATTTTAAACATCCGACAATCCACTGGTCAAACTTTTTCGCCGTATTTCATTGAACCGGGAAGTTTTACAGAGCTTTTAGTTGGAGGAGCAGCGGCTCTCCTCTGGATTTGCCGGAGATGCAGACGGGGGAAGAGAGCAGGAGCGCTAGTTAAGCTGCGTCAGCGGGGATTCAGAACTGCGCTCCCGTCAATCCATCTGGCAAATGTCCGCTCTCTGGCCAACAAGGTGGATGAACTGCTGCTCCTCAACAAAGCAAACACAGACTTTAGCAGATCCGCCGCCCTGTGCTTCACTGAAACCTGACTCGGTGCGCACATCCCGGACAGCGCAAGGAAAACGAGAGGAGGCGGAATCTGCTTCTATATTAACGAAGGTTGGTGTACAGATGTCACAATGTTGAAGGAATCATGCAGCCCTCACTTAGAATCACTTTGCATATAAACTGTAAACCATTTTATTCACCGTGGGAGTTTTCCTCATTCATTCTGGTCGGTGTTTACATCCCACCTCAGGTCTGTGTGAGTGAGGCACTCCAACACCTGGCTGAGCAGATCACCAACATGGAGCACAAACACCCAGACTCCCTGCTCATTGTTCTTGGGGACTTTAACAGAGCAAACCTCAGCAAATAACTGCCTAAATACACACAACCTGTTCTAACTCTTCACCTCTGGTAGGCACAACAGAGCACATACGCCAAAACCACCAGACCCAGGAACAGCTTCTTTCACTGGTTGTTCAATTCAATTCAATATATTTTTGTATAGCCCAAAATCACAAATGAGGGCTTTACAATATGTACACATCCTCTGTGAGGCGAGAAAGCACAAAGACTCCGGGGAAGAAGTAAAGTTAGTAATGAGCATTAACATCAATTCATACAGAAAGAGATGAAGAAGAGGAGAGAGGAGCTCAGTGTATCCTAGGAAGACCCCTCTGTCACTCTGATGAATAATTAATCAGACATACAGTACTGCACTATTGCCTCCATTTGCACTATCACCTTAATTCCATTGAGACTGTTGCTGTATAGGTTTATGTTCATATATATATATATATATATCTATATAGATATATAGATATATATATATATACTTTTGGATATATATTTATATTTATATTGTACATAGTCTTTAAATGTTTGTACTTACATCTGTTCGACTTTTTTTGTTGTCCTTGTCTTATTTTTTTATATTTTTCTTGTTTATTTCTAAACTTGTGTATGTAAGTTGAGACCAAGGTGGAAACCGGAGTCAAATTCCATGTGTGTATACGCATACATGGACAATCAAGCTGATTCTGATTCTAAATAATCTCAATTAAAATCCTGCTTGAAAACGGTGCTGATGTGATTTAATCTACTAAGTGATTAGATGTTTGAAAGAAAAGCACAAAAAAACAAACCTGATACAATGTTCATATAGAAACCCCAAAAAATAATTGTTTTTTGTTAAAACTTTAGAAACTAAAGAAGAAGAAATGACTTGCTTACATTGTTCTGTCAATTAATTCAAACTTTTTTTACAGACAGATAATTCAATAATAGAAAAATTTGTTGGCTATAGACCAGATTAACAAATATAATCATGCAAATATAACAGAAAATAAAACAATTACAAAGTTCTCTAATCATTCTCTTTGCCTCCCCTCTAGCTTTGAGTTTCTCCCTCATGTGAAGTGGACAGAACTGGGACGTTGGTATTTTCTTTACAGCAAATATGCTGAAGGGGCAGGCCTAAAAATGAAAAGACTGAAGGCATCGACTCTGAACCAACAAGCACAGCACAACACTTGTAGATGAAAAGGGAAGCCTGATCATCAAGGATCTCACACTCAAATCCACAAATGGGGAAGAAGTCGGGCACGAATGATGCAAGAAGAGAGGACGAGGAGGAAGGAAAAGACATTGCTGTTAAAGAGAGATGGACGAGGTAGAGGTGATGGACTATGAGTACAGATGAGAGATATGACAGTTGGGAGGAGGGATGATGGAAGATGAAAAAGGGCCAGTGTCTGGGTATCAAGATGACCCTCTCTAGCCTCTTTCTGGCACCCAGCTGGCATAGCAGCTTCAGTATACTGCTGCGTCAGCACTTAAAGACTGAGAGAGCCTATGTGGCGACTGTGGCTCAGTGGAGAGCAGAGTCGTCCTTCAATCAGAGGTTCGATCCCCGGCTCCGCTAGTAGTACATGCACTGAAAAAAAAGACTTTTTGGCCCTGTAATTATTACCTCGATTATTTTTGTAAATTTTACAAGAAATTATCATTCCAGTGCTTTTACTTTAAAATATCACCTTTTATTTAATGTGTTACTTGGTGTTT